TGTTTGCTCTCCTGCACTCCCTTTTGTGAGCTCCTTAAAGGCGGAGACCTCACAGTGTCCATCTGTGTATCTGCAGAACAGTGACACATAACTGGCTCTTAAATGATGAATTTGTGAACTTTTTCACCGCCTGGTATGGAGCAGTACTAACGGCCTAAGCTGGGCGTCTGCCCTTGTGTTGTCTCAGACAGAGCTGGTTGCTCCTCCCCATGCTCTGCATCCACACCGATCCTCTACCTGCACTTAAGCAAACTCAGACTCAGCTTCCCAAGCACACTGACCACAGACACGCCACATGCACACGTACCTGCGAGAGAGAGAGACGGGAAACGAGAGAGAATGAGTGCCCGACACCATATGGTCAGTTCAAGGAATGCGCAAACAGCAGTGACAGAAAAAAGCCACCTGAAACGTGCAGGGGAAGGAAGGGAGAGACAGGAGGACGTGGGCAGAGAGAGCATGCTCACGTGAGCAGGAGGGCACCAGGGGAGAGGATGGAAGGGTTGGGGGCAGACAGACATTGTTAATTCTTGATGTTAAATCCATCCATCGGAGCTTTGATCATAGTGGTCGTACATGTGAAGTATGGCAAGAATAACTTTATAGATAAACAAAAGATTCAAGATGCCAAATTGATCTTCCAAATTCTGCGAAGTAAGCATAAATATATAATACACATCAATTTGTGGTCCTTTAAAATTCAACTACTGTATGACAAAGGGGACTTAAAGAAAATTGATTTGTTGGTTCGTCAACTTGGAATTAGAAAGGCTCTGGAAATTTCAGAACAATACTCTTCTTTCCTCTGCGTAAAGTTTGCTGTAGCGAAGAAATGTGTTCATAACATCCTACTTATTTTAAATTTTATTGAACAAGGGAAACAATACATGTCATTTAGGAAATGGACAACTCTTAGCCCAGGTCTTAAGGATGGCTAATTCTAGTTCTATTCTTTGTTATTCTCTAGAGCCTAACTTAAATCCCACTCTTTTTATGAAAACTTACTCAACTGTCATTACCCACACTGATTTCTCTTATTTTCCTAGTTTATGTAATCCTTAGAGGAGCTGGCATAGAATAGTGGTTGAGCTGAGGTTGTCATATTGCCTCTGTGCTATCCGCTGACTTGCCATGTTAACCCAGGCTAGCTGGTTAACCTTGACAAGCTTTGGTTTCTTTTGTAAAATGAAGCTGATAAAATGAAGTCTCCTATTGGGGTCATTGTGAAGATTGAATGAGACCATGTTTGTAAAGATTTTAGCACCCTACCTTGCATGTGTTTAATTCACATTAGCTATATTGTTAGTGTTTATTACTGTACTGTTGCCCCTTTGATTAGTATGTGTCCTGTCTCTTCCTGGAGTGCCCTCACACTAGTAGATGCTTGATTACGTATTTACTTGGGAGGTCGGCGGGTAGAAGTTAGGATGAAGGGATAGGATGAAGGGAAAGACTCTAGTAGTAAGAGGTGGTGACTTGGAGGCTTCCGCTATATATTGCATAAGGGAAATGGTGGGATTAGTATCTGCACAGGTGATGGCCTCCAACTGATAGCTGTGTCCTCAGTAAGCAGTGTGAGAGGTGGTGGAAAAGATTAGAAAAAGGAGAGACATTGCTAGTGCTGGCAAAGGGAGTTGCGGGATTTGCGGCTAGTAGAATAGGTTTATTTATACTAAGGAGTAGCAGAAATTAAAGGTACGACACCAGGTTGAGTTGTAAGTATGTTAGTAGGGGGTCGTTAGATAGTTTTATGCCACATCGCCTACTGGTAGAGAATCGTGGTGGGCAAATGTGGAGGTCATTTGCTTGTAAGTGACCTTCTAAATTCATGGTCTACAATTCATATGGCAGTTTCAAGCTCAGAAATCAACCCAGGGAAGGGAGCTTTAGTTTCGCCTCCCCTACCTTTTCTTGTTCATTGGGAAGGATATTTAACCAAAATTGGAAGGGATGGCAACCCAATCAACCATTATCTAAAATGGCACTTCCCTGGTGGTCCAGTGGTTGGGACTTCACCTTCCATTTCAAGGGGTGCGGGTTCAGGGGAGCTAAGATCCCACATGCCTTGCGGCCAAATAACCAAAACATAAAACAGAAGCAGTATTGTAACAAATTCAGTAAAGAGTTTAAAAACATTTTTAAAATAAAAATAAGATGACACTTCCCAGAATAATTGACTCTTCCCAAGAATCTTCAGAAATGTTACGCTTATGCAAGTTATAGACTCATACAAGCGTATAGAACATGGTAACCATGAGATGGAGGAATAGTTTTCATGTCTTGCTGCAAGAGAATGGGAGGTTTGTGTTTTTGCTTGTTGATCATTTTGAGTATAGGTTAGGACCGGGAAAGAGGAAGATTGCCACAAGATAGAGGACAGCATGAAAACCAAAAGAGACAGAATAACGATCCATCCTGTTATGAGAGCACTTGAGGAGGATAAATGAGTAATTGGCCCCTTTTAGTTGGTTGAAGTTTAGAAAGAAGAATACGTTTGTTTGCATAAAAGGGATTAAGTGGTTGGTAAAAGGTATTTTTTTAACTAGTCATGAACAACTTAGGTACAAGATAATATAAAAGAGCCAGCATTGGGACTTCCCTGGCGGTCCAGTGGTTAAGACTCCTTACTTCCACTGCAGAGGGCACGGGTTCAATCCCTGGTGGGGGAACTAAGATCCCAGATGCCGTGTGGCATGGCCAATAAATAAATAATTTTTTTTTAAGAACCAACATTTATTTAAAGATTTGGAAATTCATATACCTATTTCTATATAGATTATTTACCTTTTAAACTCTAAGAGACTATATATTAACATTAGTGTAATAAACACAAATATTCTTTAAGCTAATAACGTATATATCCGTGTTTGACTTCTTTAGCTCTTCAATACACTGTATTACTCTTGTATCTAGGACTTTGCCAGTGCTGCGACATCTACTGAGAAGACTCTTACCCCTCTCCCTTCCCTAGCCCGTCTGTATACCTTCTGTAAATTCGCTGCCAAGGCACTTAGTACATTCTAGTAGGAATTACTGTTTGTCTTGTTTACCACTGTTTTCCTACAAATACTATCCATTTGATAATATATCAAATGATAATTTATCCACTTCATGTATAAAATGTTCAGAAAATATTAATAAAATTCCATTTTCTGATGACTGAGATAAGAGTATGGACTCATATAATTAAGACATGCCCCTTGAGTTACTTTTAGAGTAGTAATTTAAGGGGAAAGGAAAGGAAAGACATGAAGAGGCAAGATCTGGAGAAGACAGGGCACCCTCAGTGCAGTATTATTGAGTGTTCTGTATACGGCCAGTGTTCTGGTAGGCACTCAAGGAAGCCAGTTGTCAAACTGGGGAGAGAGAATTAATACTGGTTAGAGGACTGAGATCAGCTAAAGGGAGCTGTTGACGGCTTTGAATTTGGAGGTTTAAGTAACCGGAATTGTCGTTTTTCCCCATTTCAGCTCCACTCAGCACTTACTGAACATGACTTGTGTGTCAGCATGGAAAGGAAGCGATGTGTCCAGGAAGGATGTCGTGGTCTGATTTAGCTTGTTACCTTCAGGAAAGCGGTCCCGAGTGCCAGTGTGCTCTTGGATTTCACAGATGACACGTTTTGAGTCAAGGTTCCTATTTTGACCTTGGCATGTGTGCTGACTGGTATGTCGTCTTCTTCCAGGCTGCCTAGGGCACAGTGCCTAGCCATGGGTAGGAAGATAGTTGTGGCAGTTAAAAGATTAAAACACTTTTGAGTCAGACACACCTGGTTTTTTATCCTGGCTCTGCATTTACTTTACGGTTTTCGTGTCTACTGTAGTATCTACTGTTCAGTTACTGTGAGGATTAACTAAATAATCCACGGAGGGTACTTAACTAGTACAGTGCCTAGCACATAGTAAGTGCTCTGTGAAAGGTTAGCAATAAATATTTCAGTATCGTCTCTATCAGCATTTGGGTCAAGGCCCAGGTCCCATTGTCTAAGGTACAGACTCTGACAGTAACAATATCTTAGCCATTCTTGTTCTCTTAGCACTGTGCACCCATGATGTCAATATATTCCTAAAATCAGGGCCACTGATCAGATTGGATGTACCTCATCTTTACATGATCTGCTGCCGTCCTGTCTCCCTGAGCTCTTCCGCCATACCACCCTTGAGTACACCACGCTTGTTCCTGTCCCATGGTCTGTATTCTTTCTTTACCTCTTCCTTGGAATGCTCTCCCTCCAGAGCCCAAGCCCACAAGGCCTGCCTCATTTAGTCTCATTGAATGTCACCTGTTCGGAAAGGCTCTCCTTGTCCATCCCATTGAAATATTACTTTTTAAAAAAATTTATTTATTTTATTTATTTATTTTTGACTCCGTTGGGTCTTCGTTGCTGTGCGCAGGCTTTCTCTAGTTGCGGCGAGTGGAGGCTACTCTTCATTGCAGTGCGCGGGCTTCTCATTGCAATGGCTTCTCTTGTTGTGGAGCATGGGCTCTAGGCGCACGGGCTTCAGTAGTTGTGGCACACGGGCTCAGTAGTTGTGGCTCGAGGGCTCTAGAGCGCAGGTTCAGTAGTTGTGGTGCACGGGCTTAGTTGCTCCGCGGCATGTGGGGTCTTCCCGGGCCAGGACTCGAACCCGTGTCCCCTGCATTGGCAGGCGGATTCTTAACCACTGCGCCACCAGGGAAGCTCTGAAATGTTACTAATCACTTTCTTATCCTGCCTTATATCTCTTCATGGCACTTCTTAGTGTCTTATATTATTTTATACATTTATTCATTAATTGTCATTCTCCTGTTTGGGAATGCAGGTTCCTCAGGTTAGCCTCATCACTGCTCTGTCCTCAGTGCCTGTGCACTCAGTAAATATCCGTTCAGTAAATGACTTCAAAGTTTGGAGGTGGTTATACCTAAACACTAAAATTACTCTTTAAAGATTATTGTGGAAGTAGCTAAGTAGGGGAATGATACTGAAAAAATCTGAAATTGCAAATTTCTTTTTCTTTTAGAAAAGTGTGGACTCTGGAGAGATGAAAGGGAAACCGTCTCTTCGTAAACAGCGCTTCATGCAGTTTTCCTCACTGGAACACGGGGGAGAGTATTACATGACACCACGGGACTTCCTCTTCTCAGTAATGTTTGACCAAATCGAACGTAAGTTGTGTTTTTGTTTTTTAAGTTAAAAAAAATCAAATATTAGGGCTGAAAAACCTCTGTTTTATAGAATTGGTAACAGCTTTTCTTCATTTTAATTATCATCATTCTTTGTACCATGCGTTTACTTAATTATTTAGACTTTCAACCCTTGTGAGACTAAACTTTATTTATTTATTTATTTATTTATTTATCTAAGAAATAGTTGCTTTGTATGTGGGTTTTTCTAAAAAGAGGAAAAGGGCTTCCCTGGTGGCACAGTGGTTGAGAGTCCACCTGCCGATGCAGGGGACACGGGTTCGTGCCCCAGTCTGGGAAGATCCCACATGCCGCGGAGCGGCTGGGCCCATGAGCCATGGACACTGAGCCTGCACGTCTGCAGCCTGTGCTCCGCAACGGGAGAGGCCACAGCAGTGAGAGGCCTGCGTACCGAAAAAAAAAAAAAAGTATCCTAAAGAGAGGAAAAAATAGGTAAGTTTTTAAATGTCACTAAATAAGTTCTTAAAAGGGTAACTAATTCATCCAAGATGTTACGTTTTGGTGGTGTTGATGTTTTAAATTGGGCAAAAAAAGAAACTAGGTTAGAGCAATTAGGAGGGTCACACAGGGGGTGGGGTGGTGGTGGGACGAACTGGGTGATTGAGATTGACATGTATACACTGATGCGGATAAAATGGATGACTAATAAGAACCTGCTGTATAAAAAAAAAAGTGTGATCAAATGTATTCTATTGGAAAGAAGCAAAAATAGACTATGTTTACTGTCTAAAAATATATATATATATATATATTTGATCTTTGAAAAAATAATCAACAGAAATTAAAAATTCATCTTTGACCTTACTCAAACCTAGATCCCTCTCCTGAGTTAACTAGTGGTTTATTATGTAGCTTTTAAAGACCTTTTCTAATGCATTCATATGCTTCTGAATGTTTGAACTATTAAATATTTTGTTTTATCGAGGTGGGTCTTTTCATATGCATAGATACTATTTGTATTTCTGGAAATTGTTGAACACAGTTTTACTCTGTCTCAGATTGTATTTTAATCAATGCAAAAAGTTGAAATATAAGGAATAATGCTTGGAATACCAAAAAAAAAAAAAAAAAAAGGTTGAAGAGAGAGAGAGGGAGACAAAGAGGGAGAGAAAACAGGAATTTTGTGTGGTCAAACTGGCTAAAAATTGAATTATTATTATAACAATTTTTAAAATAAGCTTTAATAGCTATACTGTACTTATATAAAACTAAAACTTAATTTTCTTTCATCTGCTAAAAAGAGAAAGCTTCATTGGACTAATGGTCTGCTCTTGATAAGCTATTGTGAAAGGTTTCCGTTTTTAAGTAATCTGCCCAGAAAGTAACAATTTTGTGTTCTATCAAAATAATTTCCTGTGCTTCGTGTTATCTTTATCACCAGTTCTTTGATTACTTGAAAAAAACCTAGTTTTCTCAATATTAAAGTTTTGCTCAGAACTAAAAAAAAGGAGGGTCCTACAATGGAGTCATGATGCCACTGGTTTAAAAAAAACCCTGAAAAAATAGAATGAGAAGCAAAAATCCAAAAGCTATAATTAAATAATTTTATTTCATAAACCGTCTACTCCCAGTTATCCCAAATCATCAGAAATTCTTAGTTTTGTTTATCTAAATCAGTCCCTTTCGCTTTGCAGAGAGTAGACATGGCCTCGTCCTCTGTGCCCTATATTGCAGAAGTGGTCTTTGAAAAGTTCTTGGCTTCCTGACACCTTTCAAAGTGTGCCTACAGTCTTGCCCTGTGGATAGCTGCATATGGGACAGGTGGAATGGGACAGGGCAAGGTGAGCTGGAAGAAGTGTAGATTGAATTTGGGAAGACATTATTGATACTGAGGGATGGCTTGAGCAAAATCGAATGATCATGATGTGTTCTAGGGACAGTAAGTTCACCAATCACTAGCAGCAAAGCATGGCGTTGGGGGGTAGAGAGAGATCAAATTGAAAAACAATAAGGGCCAAATGTACAGGGGATTTGGGTGACCCTGTGCAACCACCAGAGAAATGTGTATTTGGTGGAGGTAAGGGGACATCATCTTGAACCAGTGAGGGATCAGTGAAGGTTTATGAGAAGGAAAATAAGGTGGTAAAAATATATTTAGGTTATTTTGGTACAGCTTCTGTTAATCTAAAACGCTAAAACAACCAGTTATTTTACCAGCAAAATGGTTTATTTGGGAGGAGCAAAGAATTGCAGTTCAGAACGTGCATCAGTGACAAACCACGTGCAAGTCCCTTAAAGCAAAGGACTGAAAACTCTTTCATAGGGCTTCCCTGGTGGCGCAATAGTTGAGCGTCCGCCTGCCAATGCAGGGGACACGGGTTCGTGCCCCAGTCCGGGAAGATCCCACATACCGCGGAGCGGCTGGGCCCATGAGCCATGGCCGCTGAGCCTGCGCGTCCGGAGCCTGTGCTCCGCAACGGGAGAGGCCACAACAGTGAGAGGCCCGCGTACCGCAAATAAAAAAAAAACTCTTTCATAAAAGAGAAGGGGAAATTGGGAGGGGCTGTTACAAATGAAAGGTGCACTGGACGGAAGTGGGAGTTTTCGTTGCCCGGCAAGGAGCACATTTCTCCCTCTTGCTGGAGATGCATATGGTGTGTCTCCCTGGGGGGTTGCATTGAGCACTGGAGGTGTGTGCACGAGCGCTGCCCTCCTGGCCTCCCAACTCCCTTGCAGTAACGTCTCCCTTTATTAGCTTTCACACTGTTTTGGAGGGAAGCTTAACAGTATATATCAGAAACCTTGAAAATATTTACTTATTTTGATGCAATAAGTTTCTTCCTAGAAAATTAGTCTAAGTAAATAATTGGAGAGATACAAAAAATTTTCTTTTAAAAAATAGTTCAGGGCTTCCTTGATGGTGCAGTGGTTAAGAATCTGCCTGCCAATGCAGGGGATATGGGTTCAATCCCTGGCCTGGGAAGATCCCACATGCCGTGGTGCAGATAAACCCATGCGCCACAGCTACTGAGCCTGCGTGCTAGAGCCCACGAGCCGCAGCTACTGAGCCCATGTGTCACAACTACTGAAGCCCACATGCCTAGAGCCCGTGCTCTGCAACAAGAGAAGCCACAGCAATGAGAAGTCTGCACCGCGACAAAGAGTAGCCGCCACTCTCAGCAACTAGAGAAAGCCCGCACGCAGCAACAAAGACCCAACGCAGCCAAAAATAAAAACAAATAAATAAATAAACTTATTTTAAAAGAAAGTAGTTTAGCGTCTTCGACATATAAAGAGATTGGATGTTGTCACTCCTGTTCTCACAGCACAAAAGAAGCTGAAAGATTGAAAATCAACAGCTCTTCTCAGATCCATGAGAGAATTGAGACCACAGGGCACACAGAGCGAAAACTGGAGAAGGTGGGCACAGAGAGAAGCCACCGCTGGAGCCACCATCTGGCAGGAGTGTTTCAGGAGTTGCTAGAGCCCGAGCATGGGCTACCTTCAGAGATAAAAATGTGTGAAAATCCACCCTGAGGGCCCCGCCAGTCCTCACAGTGAAGGTCTGAGGAGAATCCTCCCCTGCTTCCCCTCAAGGGGAGGAGAAAAGTAGCCATTTTGAAATTCCCAGAACATTCTGTTCTCCTTAACAAAGTCCTGCACAAAATGGAAGCTGTGTTACCCAAGTCTAACCCACAGCCTAACCAACCTGGGGAAATAGAAGAACCCAACTCCAGCCCCATATGCCCTTCCTGCCTCACTTAAGGGGGAAAAGCAAAAACAAAAAACTGAAAGCACTTGCGAAGATCACAGCCTAGGGACATGGGCTCACTAACAGACTGAGACCCATCATAGGATCCCCCCACACGTCACCACACACCATCAGTAGGGCTCCTGTATAGCACACGGATACAGCTGAAAGAACTATGCCTCTCAGACCTTACTTAAGAAGGCTCTAGGGAGACGAAAACACAGCAGAGGAGACAAACCAGGACATTAGGAAATTTTAGCTGCTGACATTTACAACTACAGCAAACAGTGAACACAGACTAATGCTAGCCAAGTAAACATAGAACCTCACACCAAAGGCCTATTTACTGCAGTAATGTTTACCCAGCACATCATATCTGGCTCTCAACAGTAAAATCAAGTGGCATGCTAAACGGCAAAAAGCGTCATCTGAAGAGGCAAAAGCAAACATCAGAACCTGATTCAAATATAGCAGATATTCTGGAATTGTCAGACCAGGAATTCTGAATAACCATAATATACTGAGGACTCTAAAAGAAAGAGTTCATAACATATAATTACAAATGGGTAATGTAAACCAAGATAGGGGAACTCTTAGAGTCAAAAGGAAATGTTAGAAATAAAAAGCTCTGTAACAGAGATGAAGAACGCCTTTGATGGTCTCATCAGAATAATCCTCTGGGCCCAGAAAATAATTGGTGATCTTGAATATATGTCAGTCAAAACTTCCCAAACTGAAAAGAAAAAAGACTGGAAAAAACAATATTCAGAAACTGTGGTATAATTCAAACAGTGTAACATGCCCATAATGGCAGTACCAGAAAGAGAAGAAAGAACAGAAGAAATATTTGTACTATTAACAGCTGAGAATTTTCCAAAATTATTAACAAACACCAAACCGCAGATTCAAGAAACTCACAGAACACCAAGCAGGATGAATACAAAAATAAACTCAAAACGCCTAAATGTGGGATTGATACTGTGCAATTCCTAGAGGAAAATGTAGGCAGAACACTCTTTGACATAAATCACAGCAATATCTTTTTGGATTTGTCTCCTAGAGTAATGGAAATAAAAACAAAAATAAACAAATGGGACATAATTAAACTTAATAGCTTTTGCACAGCAAAGGAAACCATAAACAAAACAAAAAGACAACCTACAGAATGAGAGAAAATATTTGCAAACAATATGACTGACAACGAATTAATTGCAAAATATACAAGCAGCTCATGCAGCTCAATATCAAAAAAAACAAACAACCCAATCAA